TTCTTTTCCATTGGACTTGAATGCGAAACTTCTACTTGAATTTGTCTCAGAAACGGACTTCTCGTCCCGATGGACATTTCAAACGACCGGAAGGTATGCATCGTGAGTTGTTCAATCTGTTGGCACAGGATAGTGAGAAGAATCTGGCTGCGTTGATTCCAACAACAACCAAAAATCTTGGCTACCGAAATCAGAAAGCTCGTGTAAGTTTCTTATACAATCCTCAATCTTTTCATTTTAGCTTCAAATCATACCCGTGAAAGGTAAAATCATATTCAGCATGCAAAAAAGATCCACTTTTCAGCCTGATGATTACCATTTTTCTCTCCATTGTCGTCTCATTATTGCTCTTTAGGCATAGCTTTTGAATTTTTCGAGTGAAGGTTAGTATCAGTAAGTAAGTTGTGAAAGGTTATTCGAATGTGATATTCAGATTGGAATGCGGCAAGTGAGACCGTGGGTATGGAAGGCATTTGAGAACGCGGCCAGAACCGACGGTCTACAATTGTGTCATTGGCAAAGAGTCGACAAAATGGACCCTGATCGACCGTATCCATTTGCCAGATTCAACAAGGTATATTTCGGTTGTACCTTTCACTTTTCCTTTAATTATTAAAATTCCGTCACTATTATTCAACTTCATTGTCTGGTTCATCTCCTTGCCATTCGTTACTCGAGAACGACCAACAGAACAGCTTCATCTTTAAGTCAGCCATTTGTTTTTCTTTTTCGACTTTAGCAAAGTGAAATTTCTGTGAATCAAGAATTTTTTATTGTGGAAACAGGCGGCAGGAGATGGATGTTGGTGAAAGTAGGATGCAGCCAGTACTATCGTGAAATTCGGAAGTAAAGATCCAGTATTCGTAGTAAACTGATAAGTAAATAGGTAGAGATTGATGCAACTTTATGACTCCGCTTGATTGATTGAGTGGCGAAATGATTTGAATGATCTTGTAGTCATGAGTGGTTTTAAGAATGGTTGATTTTCGGTTATGAGGAACGCAGAAATGGGAGTTTTTTGAGTCGATTCAAACCAGGAAAATAAAAAATATGCGACTTTGATTACACCCATCCTTACGTGTTTACTATTTTACTGGTTCTGGGAAATTTCTATTTGGCAGTTTAATTTCAGGTGATCAATATACCAACATTCACAGATGAAGAATATGAGAAATATCTGAATTCGCTGAAATGGTCCAAAGAAGATACTTTGCATTTGTTTGATCTGTGTAGAAGATTCGATTTAAGGTGAGCTTTGATTAGGTCGAGTAGGATTATCCAAAAATAATTATTCCATGTGAATAAATAATACGAAAAGTTTTGGACGTTTGAAATGGATTTAAAATAAATTGAATCTTATTTCAAAACATAGTAAAGAATCATTCGAAGACTTCCAAAATGAAGTCAGAACTGAAAATTAATAGTTTTCAAAAGCAGGCTGTTCAAGACGAATGATGAATTGTCATATTAATTGCAGATGGCCAATAATTGTGGATCGTTGGGAGGGTTCAACGCGTCGTACAATGGAAGAAATGAAAGAACGTTTCTACAATGCCGTGAACGATTTGAATACGGCAAAAGATCGTAATGCCGAGTTGTTGTGTTACGATGCAGAACATGAGAAACGTCGTAAAGAACAACTGGTCAAGCAATGGAATCGAACACCACAAGAGGTTTGTTATCCGATTGATCTGTGTGAATGTATCTATGCAGAAAGTCCTTATGGGATCTCCTACCCCCTCCCGTTATTTCTGCCTTTGCTGTAGAAATCTACTGCACACAAAGAAAATTTCTGTGATCAGTGAGGAGAAATTGTCTCAAATGTGGAATTTATTTCGCATTACCTTCGGAAAGATTAGTTTAGTTATGGACATGACGAAAATATCTCCACGGAAATGTTTCGATAATGGGACTAAGAGCTGAGAAAAAATTGAAAAGTGATAGGTCATTTTGTTGAAAAATTTGTATAGATAGTTGTTGATTGCAGATCGAGGAGGAAGAAATGTTGATAGCGGAAATGAAAAAAATAGAGGTACGTAAACGTGAACGAGAGCGAAAGGCACAGGATTTGCAGAAACTGATAACGGCAAGCGATAGAACGCCGGTGACCCCAGCGAATACGTATGTTTTCGTACCTGTTAAGATCAGTTGAACGTTATTTTAGTTTACATTCGCGTTCTCGTGCAATTCGGAGTGCCAGTATTTTCGTTCGGATTTATGTTTCGAATGTTGTGTTATTCATGTTGTTCAGCATCATCCCAAATGATACCCAACGTGATGTGTGCAACTTGATTTAACCATTTATGTTACAGATTATCGACGATATCACCCGCATCCGGTATCAAGAAGAAGACGGTGGTACGACCGAAAGCTTCATCCACCAGTGTAGCACATTCAGCAAGCGCTTCATTCATAGCCGTATGTTTTCATTGCTTGTTGCTGGTTTTCAGCCGAATCTATAGAGTGATTTATTAAGAGAATGACGGATATTAGCTGTTGAGATTCATTATGCGATTGACAAATACGACTCAATGTTGTTGTAAATAAGTAACTTATTGCAGGAGCATTCGTCATTGCGTTTCCCTGAATTCCGTTCAGCTGGCGCTCATTTGCGAAGTCAGGAGATGAAACTGCCGACGAACGTTGGTCAAAAGAAGTTGAAGAATATTGAAACGGTCATCGAGAAGTTGAAACTTGGTTGGTTATTGAAGTTGTTTCATAAGGTTAAGTGAAAGTTTCCATTCATATAGCTGTGTATCTTTGTTCTGTTGAATTGTTTTGTCTTTATTTTTGTTGTTGTCTACAATGAAGTTGTCCTATATCTTGTCATGAGTCTTTGCAATCGGTAGGGAATTACTGGTGCAATTCAAAATTCTTCTTTGCAGATTTGGTACCAGTGGGAGCCGAGGAGATCGTTGTTGGTTATAATGAATTTCGCTCAAGTATTGTGCTGTTGCAAGAACTCAAGCATGCTTTGCAAACAGCCGAATACGAATTGGAATCATTGCGAACACGATATAATACTCTTAGTGGAAAGGTTGGTTGTTAGCTCATGGTTCCATCCTGCATATATTACGAACACTTTCTTGAATACTTGGAAGGGTAAACTGATTTGATTTAAACTCTTCTCAGTGGAATGACTTATTCTGTGAATTTAATCTAGGTGCAAGGATTTCTATATTGTTGAATTCTTAGACGAATTTTTTCCATAGGATGTTTGGTTTTTTGCTTCTACAGTGAGGCTGTTAATGTTGTATAAGCGTTCGGGTGTTAGAATTCTTAAATCGGATATGGATTCATAGAAACGAAATCTGCATACAGAAACCAATCTTATTTGTACTATTTATGTTGCCTAATTTCGTTTGATAGTAGGTGTGTATAGTTGAATAAATGAGAGAAATTTAGTGTTTCTTAAAAAATATTCTGAAATTAAGAATTCAAGACTGAATGTGTTGATTTTGAGACATTTGAAATTGAACCAAGAATGCGCATCTCATCAGCGTCTGATGCAAGCATATTTGGCGATGACAAGGGTGTTGGCACAAGTGCAGATCTGCCGTCGTCGAGTCGAACAATCACAGAAATGATTGAGCTGTCATCGTCACTGCCACAAGCCGTTCGTTCCATTTCATTCAATTCATTAATTCGATTAACTATTGACTATTATCATATTACTATTACTGTCATAATTGCATATATTTTCCAACAGTTCACTCTTTTAATGTCCGCAATGTGAAAATGAATCGCGATGAGAATGATTCAGAGGAACAGTCAATTTTGAGCAGCCAGGAAGAAAATAAAGGAAACATATATCGTTGGTGTGAAGATAGGTGCCTATATTGTTCTATATTCCAGGTACGAAAGCGTAAATCGAATATGCCATCGAATACACCACCAGCCGAGACCAGACGATTGAGGCGAAGTTGAGCAATTTCAATGGTGTAAAATGATCAGCATATTATTAGTTGGGGTACAATCGAGGATGTTATCGTGTTTCTCTGCATAAAATATACTTGAAACGAGCGATGAACTGACTTCCCGAATAGGTTGTTATCTCGGAAGCATGAGCTGTCTTAAAAATGATGCTGTTGATTATTTATTGATCCGTATCATTTTATCGTCGAGATCAATCCTCACCGTCGATGTAAGATATCTTGTCTTTAACGTCTTATTCGCGTTCAGGTCCAATGGTTATCCTTTCTTTCTTATGAATCCTGGAGTCGGAGTAATTGTTTCATTGCTTAATCGCACGCCATGAATTTTTGAAGATTTTAAGAACGTGGCAAGATTTTTTGAGTATCTGTTATATTTGTATATATGTCTGACTAGAGTAAGTGTAGTCATTGAACTTGGAGTATCAGTTTTCTATTGCAAGTTGAGGGTGTTTTTAAGTTGGAAACGGAAATTTGAGATTTATTTGATGTTATTTAGATTGTT